TGCAATAAAATTTGATATCAGGTATTTAAGTCCTACCTCTTAAAAGTCCCATGGCCTCCCAACTGTGCCACTCTGTGAACTAGGCCTTTCACTCAGACATTCTGGGGGACATTCAAGATTTAGATGACAGCATAACATTAATATCCCTCAAGAGCAGAAGCTGGTTGATTTCGGGCTCTAGACTCAAACTCAAGTGTTGAGTTAAATGACATAACAAGGAAGCGACTAACAAGCCTAGAACTCACATAAGACGTTCGTAATGGATAGCCAACCCAGATTCTGCAACAATTAAGTAGTGGGGAAAAGGAGAGAAGACCGAAAGCCCTGGAAAGACGCAGAAGTGACAAAAGTGAGTTGTGTGCCATGTGCAGGCTGTCTTTGGATACTCATTGTCACAGTCAGCTGTGGAAATATATATGTGCTGTGTATTTATGTTTGTGTATATGCACAAGTGTTTGGCATGCACGTGGAGGTCAGGGGTTCATGTGATGTGCCTTCCTCTAGCTCTCTCCACCTTATTTTATTCGGTGTGTGTGTATGTTTAAGTGTTTATGAGTGTGGGTCGGTACATGCTGTGTCACTCATGTGGAGGTCAGAAATAACCTCCGGTGTCAGTCTTGCCTTTCCCCTTTTTCTATCCTGGGTTTCTTTGTTGTTTATCCATTGCATAGGATAGTTGGCCCCCTAGGCTAGCTGGCTTTCGAGCATCTCCACTTGCTTCCACAGTGGCCCTTTCCCAGCCAGAGCAAACTGCTCATTTTGTTAATCAGTTTAGCAGTAAATATTCTTAACCACAGAGCTCTGACAGTACTCCTGGGTCTGGTGACAAATTAATAACACATTTGTTAAGAGATGTCCTATGGGATCTGGACAGAGTTCTTAATTTTATTGGTCTAATATAAAGGACTTTTATCCAAGATACACAGAAATTTCTTAGTAACTGGACATCTATTAGGACAGTTAAAAGAAAAAAAAAAAAAAAAAAAAAAAAAAACAGAGTTCCGTAACACAAAGAGACAATTTAATGTATGACAATAAAAAAAATAAAAAAAAAAAAAAATACCTAGGCAGTTCAAGGAGGAAGATCCAGGTAATATTCAGATGGTGACAAAAATAAATCATGGAAGCCCTGTATGACGAATGCAGGGGAAAACTTCAGAAAGGGGGCTGGAGACTAAAAGGTGTTGACTTTAGTAGCTGGAAATGAGAGTTTGTAAGAACAGAGCCTTGAGGGGCTGCAAGGACGGGACAAACCACAATCAGTTTGATGAAGCTTTGCCACAGGACTTTAGGTTAATAACTGATTCTGGATCCCAGGCTTGAATTAAATGGCAATGGAGATGGAAACCTTTCTCACACAGGAGTTGAGACTCAGAGATAAGCAAAAGGAAGAGGCCAGAATACCCCTGGAGAGAGGATTAGTTTGAAAAAAGATTAAAACTCATCTTGAGGACTAGAAACAGCTCCCATGTGACTCAGGGAAGGAGAGTGAGAATAAGAAAACAAGAGGCTTTCTTTAGGGCTGAGTGCTCCACATTCTAATTCTCTGCCATTGACCGTGTTAAATACCCAGCATAAAGGAAGGATGGTAGGCACCAAAACCCTCCGGTAGCTGAGGACTGTTGATTTTGATAGCTGCCAGGAGAAACTTAGTTTTTGTTTTTAAGTGATATGACCCCTGGTAGGTCAACCACATGTCAGGACAGAACCCACTCCCAAAACTAGCTGGGCAACACAAACTGGATTTGTTGAGGAATGGGGAAAAAAAAAAAAAAAGGAAGAAATGTCAAAGTTGGGTGGGAAGGGATCAGAGGGTGGAGAGAGGAATTTTTGAGGTGGGGTGACTGTGTTCAAAATGCATTGTATAAAACTCTCAAAGAGTGAATAGAAATAGTGTTAAGAAAAGAAAACACAGCTTTATTAGGAAGAGAGAAAAAAAAGCAAGAACTTCAAAACTTGACAAGGTAATGACAGGACAGTGGGAGGAACAGAGAAGAAGAGAGATGCAGTAGAAGTAAGCCAGGCACCTCAGCACCTGCCACTGCTCTGCAGGGGAAGCAGGCAGAAACTGGAGGAGAAAGGTAAGCCTGGTGGCCTGGTGGAAAGAGACTGACAATTCTTCCCACAAGCCCTCATGGACCTCTAGTTCTGTTGCAGGTTTTGCTAAGACAGGTGGGTAGTCAGGTGGAAAAAGTCCTATGTTGGCCCTCTATAAAACTCCGGGGGCTCTGGCTGGGCACCATGTTGGAAGGGAACAATGTTTAAAATTGAGCTGACATGGTGACCTAAGAACAGAGAACAGTCAGAAATCAAAGACCCCAAATTTAGCCAATCATGAACAGACAGCCACAGAAAACAGACTACAAGAAGGCTAAACAAGTCAGGATTGTGAATTCAAGGCCAGGCTGGGCTGTATAGTAAGAGCCTGTCTCAAACATGCTCACTCATCTTAAGCTTAATATTGACACAGATTGTTGGCTACACACAGGATTATCTATAGATGCAGGCTTATGCAAGTTAACATAGACACACATATTTCCTTGTTCTATTGAAACTGTCTAAAAGAAACTGCCCTCCAATGACAATGATCATGCCTGGCACCTGACAAAAGAAACCAAGGCTCCCTAGAGAACAGTCAGTTCTAGGAGTGGATCAGGAGGGAAAGGAAGCATAATGAGAGTCAACCAACCGCATCTACTTTGATGTATTCCAAGGTGGGCACAGCAGACAGCAGAAAGAGCACAATGTCTAAAGCTGGAACAACTTGCAACACCATCAATTGATTAGCCTTGGAGCGCAGCCCAAAGAATAAAATGAGTATTCGTGAGTTTGTACTAATATAAATGATTGAATAAGTGAAAAGATGTAGAAGACAACTGTCCTGCAGATGTGTTTCAGATGATGTATGTAGATGTTTCAGCCTCAAGGAAAAGTAAAGGTTGCACAGTCACGGAAGGAAAGAAGATAATGACGTCACCTTCCAACTTCAGGCGGGTAGCTGTGATCAGTATCCACGATATGTCATGCTGACAGTGTGCTTATTTGTACAACATGATGCAAATAACCTCTGTGATTTCCCTCCTAAATACTACAATTTAACCACTCAAAAACTCTTCAGACAAATTCAAATTAAGAGATAGCCTACATCACACACACACACCCACACACACACAAACACACACAGGAGAGAGATGTGTATGTATTCTTTAAAACTGGCAATGTCTAAAAGCAAGATGATATTCATACATTGTCATAGCCAGTTGACTCCTCCCAGGAGGTGAGGCAGCTACAGTAGTGTGGTAGATTTCTGGAATAGAAAAGGGCATTAGGAAACACTAATTGAAAAGGACATTAGGAAATGTGAATGAAATGCGCATTTTAACTAACATTTTAGCTAGTGATAATGCATTGTTATTGACCCATGAACTATAACAAGTTACCCTGCTAACCGGAAGTTCTTAACTGAGGAGAGCTGAGGTTTTAAAAGCCAGTGCTTAGCGTTCACAAGGCCCCGGATTCAACCCTTAGCACCAGAGAGTAGAGTAATTGAGGAAGCCGTGGTGGAGACATGAAAATGTTCTGTACTTCATAAAGTTCCTGTAAAACAGACACCACTACTAGACACCCCCCAGCCCCACCTTAAAGACTTATTAAAAAGACTCTAGGGGAGGTTTCAGAGGGAACACGCAGAACCTCCTCAACCAGCTTCTTTCCCAGGGCTTCTGACTGGGCTCTACAGCCCCTAGCTTGGCTATTTGAGAGTCAGGCCAACAGCAGCCAAGAATTTATTTGCACAGGCTGTGCCTTCCAGCTCTGTTTGCCGCTGCTATTACAATGTGGGTCTTGTGCCCATCCTAAGCCAGCTGTTCTGTGGAGGGGGTGAAACACTCCTAGCTGAGTCTGGTCTCTGAGCTCCAACACTGTGAAACAAGCCAGGAGTGAAGGACAAGTTCTTTTGCACAAACTCTTAAAACTGGGAAAGACAGTTCTGTGGGCTCCAAAGACTTAGAAGACAGATGAGGCAGATGATGGAAAGACCCACGAATGCTCACAGTGAAGGAGTGGCAAACTGTTTTCTGCAAGGTTGATAGATATGCTTGGAATTTCAAAAGAATGAAGTAAGATGGAAATTTGATTTGTGTTCTAAGGACTTGACCCAATTCTACATGCTTTTTTAAAAAATTATTTATTCTTATTTTATGTACATTGGGGTTTGACCTACATATATGTCTGTGTGAAGGTGTCAGATCTTGGAGTTATCGTTGTTAGCTGCCATGTGGTTGCTGGGAATTGAACCCAGGTTCTCTGGAAGAGTGGTCAGTGCTCTTAACCACTGAGCCATCTCTCCAGCCCCATGTTTTATTTTTTAGATTTGATTGCAACTATACATGTGCTCGCGCATGTGCACGCACATACACATACACACACTGCCCAAAACACTGAAAGTATAAGCTAAAAGAGTAAAACACATCCAACTATTTTTAAGAATAAAAATTTTTGACTTAGTGAGGTGCTGTGTGCCTTTAATCCCAGCACTCAGGAGGCAGACGAAGGTGGCTCTCTACATAAGGAGTTCCAGGCCAGCAAGGACTACACACTATACAGTAAGACTCAGAAAACAAAACAACAGAAAACATAAAATAATGCTTAAAAATTTTAAGGCATTTACTTAAAAAGCAGTCTAATTTTGCTCAAATTCTTGTTCATGAAATATGTCCAGTTTTAAAAGATGCACGAAGTCTAAACCACTAATAGTGAAAAATGTGACCAAAATACTTTTTGCTAACCAAGCTGTTCTCCTTACTCTAATCATGAACATTATGCTAATAAAACCTTCCTTTGCCAAAATTAGCTTTGGTAGACTGACAGCTAGAAGGTATCCATGTCGGGCCCAGTGTATAAGACAATGGTCCTGTGATTATTTCACTATCAAACTCTTTATGTGAGGATGAATATGGCTTAGAGCACTGAGAAAATGAAGGAACCCACACTCTGCTCACCTGTGACGACCATGCGCTTTCCCACCGCTTCAGAGAGCGGCTCCCGGTGTGATAGAGACATGCTGAGGTTTAAAGCTCTTTGCTGCAATTACTGCCCGAATGTCCTCAGAACAGTGAGTGCACCAGTAAGTGTCAAGGACTGGGTCTCTGCTCTCCCTGTCTATGACGTAGGCTGGCTGGTTGCTAAGGTTGCTTTATGACAGGAGGAGCAGATGTTCCTTGTACCAGAGCTCGGTATTCCAGTATCCAAAAGCAGACACAACTGTAGTGTGCCCAAGGGCTGCACTCCACCACCGTCCCTTGTTTGCCCACATCCAACCAGAATACTGTGCAGAAAGTCCTAGAACAGCCCACTGGGCTGTATCCAGTGTCTTTTGGCATTTCTAGAAGAATGTTGTACAGGAACAAATTGGGGGTGTTTGGGGGAGAAAGAAAGAGAAATGCAAAGCCTGGTTAAACACGTTTGAAAGACACCAGGAAAGATAGAGGGTGCCTGTCCTGAGACAGCTAGACCACACAGACGTACATACACCACAACCCTTGCATGGGAGCATGGGAGTGCTTCTCATTTTGCCACCAGTGCCTCCAAACAGAACCGATCCCTTTCACCAGTGTGGACAACTGCAGTCAAGCCTTTCTTGCTTTCCTGGTCCTCTGTGTTGCCCTCTCCTTAGACTCAGGCCTTGTACTTTTCTTTGCTGCCATGCTGGCTTACTGTTGCAGAATCTTCTCTATTCCAGAGGCTGCCCAGTCCTGATTACTGTGTTTAAGGCACTGGATCATCACAGCACATCCCTCTTGGAAAATACTCTGTCCTTGAAGAACCGTTGTCTGAGGTGTCCAAGTTTAGAAATTTCTTAGTATGAGTCAGGTGCCACTGCTCTAGATAGAGGCAGTGGGACCTGTGAGAATGAAGCTGATAAATGAGGTGGACTTAGGTCTCACGTAATAGCCAACTTTATTCAGGCTTAAGAAGCGTCACTAGTGTAAAGTATACAAGCATAATCACAAGCAACCAGGCAATGTGTTTTTCCATAGAGGCATAAAACAACAAGCAACAGCCAATTGTACTGAATAATCGAAAGTAAACTTATTTCTATCCACTACACCTGGGAAGAGCACAAAAGCACATTCCAAGAACAGTTCCATGTTCTGAAGAAACCAAGGATACGAGACCCTTGTCTTAGTTTCCTCACAAGCACTCAGAGTTCTCCTTATAGGACTCCATTCTTGGACCATGTTCTGACAGACAGGAACTTAAAACCCATGTGTGGTGGCACACATCTGTAATTACAACATTCCAGAAAACAGATGTAAGAGGATGAGAAGTTCATGGTCATCTTTGGCTACATAGTAAGTCCAAGGCTAGCTTAAGATACAGAGGACCCTGTCTCGAAGAAAAAAAGCAAAAAACAAACTAGGATTGGAGGGTGGACTACAGGAACCAGCCCGTTGGGTATGTCCTTGTATTTTGTTGCTGTATTGCCTAGGCTGGTCTTCAACTCCTGAGCTCAAGGGATCTTCCTGCCTTAGCCTCCCAAGTCACTAGGACTACAAATGGCTCTTTTGCAGTTTTAATAATGTTACAAAGAAAAAAGATGGAGAAGCCTAAATTATTAAGAAGAGTGATTATGGACCTGGTGAGATACTTGGAGATGAAAGCATTGGCTTCTCTTCTAGCAGACCCACGTTCAATTCCCAGCATCCATGTGGCCACTCACAAGTGTCTAACTCCAGTCCCAGGGGACTCTAAAGCCCTCTCTGGCATCTTGGCCACAAGGCATACACATAGCACACAGACTTACATGCAGACCAAACACTCATACATTACAATAAGTGAATGTTTTGAAAGCAATTGTTTCTAACTTAAACAGAAAAAATAAAAATAAAAAGGTCATGGCTTTTGCATGAGAACCTTTCAGTAAACCATCATGAAGAAGGAAGCTTCTGCACTGACTCAAAGACTCTTGCAAATTTTCTGAGATTTAGGGTTAGCAACTCTGACACCAAAATGCTAAAGAGAAGGAAACAGAGGGGAGTATGCAGTAAATTCTTCTCTTTGGGATGACACACCAGGACAACCATGTTTAGATTCATTTGTTGCTTATTTCAGTTTTTAAGGATTTTCCTAAAATTTTTATAGTTAAAGGAAAATATTTACATGGATCATAAGTAAAATTCTTAAAATAAGTAATATTTTTTTAAAATCCTCTATATTTATCCTTGTTACTTTCATAATCTTCTCTTTTTCAGGAGCATTTCTAAATTGCAACCACAAATATATACATATATAGATACAGAGGCATATTTATATTCATATCCCCTCCCATCTGAAGACAACATACTTTCTCATCTTATTTCATATTCACAGTGTATCTGTGGATCATTCTACTTTATACAGCATTAGGTAAAATTAGTTCTCATTTTGTGGGTACAACCAGAATATATTCAATGGAATGCATTTTTCATAATTCATTCTATCAATGCACTCTTAATGATCATTCAAAGTATTTCTTTTTGTTTTTCTTTGACACATAGTGCTATAATATAGGCATAATTTTCTGTCCCACCAGCCCAAATAATAACACAGAAACTTCTTATTAATTATAAATGCTCTGTCCATAGCTTAGGCGTGTTACTAATTAGTTCTTACAACTTAAATTAACCCATATTCTTATGTACGTTCTACCATGTGGCAGTACCTTTTTTCATTATGGCATGTTCATCTCCTGCTTCCTCTGCTTCTGGCTGGCAACCCCATTTTCACCCTTCTTCCCAGCATCCTCTCTGTCCCCCCAAATCCTGTCTAGCTATTGGCTGTTCAACTTTTTATTAAACCAATCAGAGTGACAAATCTTCACAGCATACAAAAGTACTACTCTATAGCACTATAACATACAATACCTGCATACATCTGCAGCTGTTTTGCCAACATCTTTGGGCTAGACCCCTAGAAGTGATATTGCTGGTAAGTAGATAGACCTTACTGCCCCACCCCATAATGGCGTATCATTTCAAACTCCTACCCACGGCTACTAAGAATACCTGTTTGGCTATTAATATCACCTGGTCACAGAATGTGCTGTTCACTTTTGGTTTTGTCCATGTGACAGATAAGACATAGTGACAGTATTTAGTGTTTCTATCATTGCTAGTGTAATTGGACATCCTTTCAAATGCAGGCTGGAAGTTGATCCCAGGGCCTTGTACAGGGTAGTTAAGTACTCTACTACAGAACTATACCTGCACCCCATTACTGTCTATGAGTCACTTAGTCAAACTTCTTGTTGTATTTTCATTCAGGTCAGCTTTTTAATAGCCTACTTTTTGAAAGAAGGAGTTAATATTCTAAAGAGAAACACAAGTTTGGGGAGAACAGTGGGGAGGGAAACAAATGAGAAGAAAATATAAGGACAAATATAAAGATGTCATGGCAAAATCCAGTGCTTTGAATACTAACCTAAAAATCTCAATTTAAAGACTAAATCACTGACAAAAAAACTACTAATAAAACATTAATGTAATGAAATATTCATGCAAGAATGACTATAAAATATAACAATGGCAAGGCTGGTTACAGTAATACACTTAGTAAAGTCCTAATTTTGATCCCTGAGTCACAGGAACGAGGGGTGTATCCTTCCCCACAGTAGGCTGGTGCATGCGGCCTGCATGTAGAGAGATAGGATTTCTCCGAATAGGTGATATATGAACTGCTTTGAAGAATGACTACAAGCCAGGGGAATGTGTGGTTGGAAGGTCATTTGGGGAACAACCTGAACCAAAGGCTAGAGAAGAGGAATCGTTAACAGTACAGCACACAGCAAAAGTTCACGTTCAGTGTTGCTAGAGTCATGTCAGTCCTCTTTCTGTCTATACCTGAGGGGATTAACTTATAAGGAATGTTTATTTCAGAGGTTTTGGTACATGGTTTGTAAATTCTATGGCTTTGGGGATTATAGCAAGGCTGCACTGCATCACAAGGGGCATGTACACAATGGTACAAAGCTGCTTATCTCATGGCAACCAGTAAGCAAAGCAAGAAGAGGGGCCAGGGCCCGAAGTCAAATGTCTCCAGTGACCTCCCTCTCAATGGGTTCCACTTTCTAAAGATCCCAGCACACAGTCTTGTCAAATGAGACTTCAGCACATAGGAAAGAGTCCTCACTATAGCCAAGAGTGAGCTGGGCAGTGAGGCGGGAGAGACTAGCTGGGTGGTGAGTCAGAAGAGACTCTGTAAGCCCCACAACCTGCTGTACTTAGGAGCACCTAAGCAAGGCATCTGTTTAAGATCAAGAGTCAGGCCTGGCAGCAGTGGTGCACACCTTTAATCCCAGCCCTAGGGAGGCAGAGACAGGTGGATCTCTGTCAGTTCTAGGCCGCCTGGTCTACAGGGCAAGTTCCAGGACAGGTTCCAAAGGTACAGAGAAACCTTGTCTTATTAGGGGGAAAAAACCACAGGTCAGGTCTGTCTTGGGTTGAAGTTAGAATCACTTGACTAGAGAACAGGCTTGATGGAGAAGGCCTGGAGTCCCAGCACCCACAGGCAGCTGTTGACTTTGAGGAATACAGATGTTCAGGCACCTGAACATAGTTTTGACTCATCCTTGGTTAGGAAATGGAAATGTTCTTGGTCTTGTCAACAGATCTGTCCTTGCCAGAAGCTAGGAATGCCTGAAGGGAGTGTATTACCTCTTTTCCCCTAAATGATCACCACTGCCTGGATCAAAACAGAGAAGCACCTGGACACACCAATGCATTCCCCACCCCATGCCACACCCCAGTTTCTTTTTAAGTCCTATAAAAATCTCAATGGCACCCTAATTTTGGAACCTCTGCCTGTGATACAGGACCTCTGCCTTCTTTTGTTTAGGCTCCCATCTATAATATTAAAAAACTCCTGTTTAAACTCACTTTCCATGGAATTTGTTCTTAAAATTTATGAAGCAAGAGACCTGGAAGCCACTGACTTGGAGTTGCTTTGGAGGCTCTTGATTTGTCTAAGACCCTAGCACCCCAAGTTATGCTCACCTGAGGTGAGAGGAAAAGCCTCCACTGTACTCAAGCACACCCCCCCCCCTTTCCTGAATCAACATGGCCCAGGAAAGTGAAGTGCATGATCCAAGTGAGGGGTAACAGAAGGG